GGGGGGGGGTGGGGGGAGCCTGTGCTTGGAAAATTAAATTAATTGGAAAATTAATTGGAAAATTAAACCGAGGTGGAGGCAATGGGTGAAAGATGAGCACCCCGTGGGGTGAGGGGGTGCCATTGTTTAATGGGGGGATGTCATTAAATATTAAAGGCTGAGGATAATGGCGCTTGAACTCCTGGCCTGGGGCTGAAGGAAAGCATCCAGCCCCAAGGGACAGTGTGTGGCAGCGGTGGGGGGGCCACCACGAGTCGTGGCTGGTGTTGGGGGGGACAAGGAGGGAGGGGGGGGGTGCCAGCCCACGCTGACCTTCACGGTGGGGCTGCTCCGCAGGCTTGGCGCCGGTACGACACGGACCGCAGCGGCTACATCGAAGCCAACGAGCTGAAGGTGGGTGACGAGCACGGGGGTTGGTTGGGACGGGTCCCATCCACCCCCCCACCCCCCCCAAAGGTGGGGACAACCCAACGAAGCCCTCTCCTTCCAGGGCTTCTTATCAGACCTGCTGAAGAAGGCGAACCGGCCCTACGACGAGCCCAAGCTGGTGGAGTACACACAGACCATTGTAAGTGGGGGGGCCCTGGCTCCCCTCCCGGGGGGGTCCCACCACCCCCCCGGTGGGTGGGAGGGAGGAGGAGGATGAGGAGGAGGTGATGGTGACCACTTGTGTCCCCACAGCTGCGGATGTTCGACATGAACGGTGACGGGAAGCTGGGCCTCTCGGAGATGTCCCGGTAAGGACACGGGGTGGCGAGGAGGGGAGAAGACACCCCCCCAAAATGCTCCCATCTAGGAAAAGTCCACGCCGACTTCCAAGAAAAAACAGTTTTCCTCTTTAATTTGCTGCTTTTTTTTTTTTTTTTTTTTTTAGTCCTGAAGCTATCTATCAAAATGAATATCTGAGCAAAAAGCCATTTTTGGATTTTAAAAAGTATCTTTTCCTGGCCTCTTCCCGCTCATCCCTGCCCTTCTTCTTTTCCAGACTTTTGCCTGTGCAAGAAAACTTCCTCCTGAAGTTTCAGGTAAAATAAAAATAATAATTAAAAAAAACCAAAAAACCAAAAACCAACCCAAAACCAAACCCAAACAACCCATTCCTGTTCCCTGGCTCTGTCCCCCGACTCACGCCACAGTGTCCCTTGCTCTGCCCAGGGGATGAAGCTGTCCTCCGAGGAGTTCAATGCCATCTTCGCCTTCTACGACAAGGTAGGGGCACCTGGGAAACTGCCCCCAAGAAATACCATTCCCCCCCAAAAAAAAAAAAAGCCAAACCCCAAACTACCTGGTTTTGGTTGGGTCAGTTCCCTGCTCTGGTTTGGGTCTGGGGGTGCCGGGTTTGGGTCTGGGGGTGCCCTGGCTTGTGTCCTCCCTCCCCCTGGGGACGTGCCTCCTCGTTATCCAGGATGGAAGTGGCTTCATTGATGAGAACGAGCTGGACGCGCTTTTGAAAGACCTGTATGAGAAGAACAAGAAAGTAAGTGGGGATGAGAAGGGGGGGGATGGAGCCTGCCCCCCACC